GATAAAAAAATCTAAAAAAAGAAAAAGGAAAGTTTAATATTTCCTTTTCCCTTTCATTTTTTAGCACAAAACTGCAAGGTATACAAGAATGAAACTCTAATTCATGAAAATGAATGTGTATCTCCTGAAACTGTCGAATTGACCTACTGTGAAGGAACTTGTAAAAGCTCTTCAGTGTAAGTGACAGAGGCCTATAATACTCTTACCTATTCATTCCTCTGCTTGGTAATGTCATATTCATGCATAGTGGCAACTAACAAACTAAGCTCAGGGTTACCTTGATCCACATGGGGAGTTTCATTTGCATTTGGAAACAAGAGCCACTTCCACTTGGGAGTTTGATTGTGTTGGATTGTTTTGATGATTGAGTGGCCATGTGCAGTTTTAGCCATTCTGACAAACTATTGAGGTTTTAAAACTCTATGGTAATCCCCAAGACTTATTCGAGATGGACAGTGTAAAAGTACATGTAATAAGTTAAATTTTATAGAAAGGGTCTTAACTTTTTTTTTCATCTGGACAGATATTCCCAAAAGGCAAAGACATTTCAGCGTAAATGTAACTGTTGCCAAGAGTCCAAGAGCCATAGAAAAGAAGTTATCTTGACATGTCCGAATGGCACAACCATCATTTATGACTATATGTATGTGGATGAGTGTAATTGCACAACTGCATGCACCTAAGAAGCCACAACCAACTAGAAGAAGAATAATTTACAATTTCCTTTGTCTGAGATAAACCCAACAAAGAACACTCAGCAGAAATCGGTCATCATCCAGTGCTACTTTGGATCACTCCTTGTGTTCTTGAACCGGATGTTTTTCTCTTGGCCAGTTGCTTAATCTAATTAATGTCCTCTTTCCTGTAAAAAAAAAAAAAATCTTCTGGCCAGCTGTTTTCAAAATGAGAGCATTCTCATTGGAAGGTTTTTCTCATTGCAATACCTTCCAAGTATTCCTAAAATGACTGTAGTAATGTATAACATTTTAATGTAGAAAATTAAATTCCTATATGTCCATGCGTTTTCTGTTTTGTTGATTGTTGTGGGGGTGGTGGTGGTTTGCAAGTCTTTAAATGACATAGCTTCATATTCTGCAGGCACAAACATCTGTATAGCACCAACGGACATACTAGACTTGCTTTCCCATTTAATTCTGCTTTTTTGAGATTAATAAACAATACTTAAGCAAAGTTCAGCTTGTACAGCTGCTGTTTTCATTCACCAGTTACTGCCACCCCCTAAGTCAAACCATCACATTGTGATAATTTACTATTTCATTACATGAAAAGAATAGGGCCCAACTAGTAACCTCCAGAAGGGACTACATAATTTATTTATTATCAGTAACCTGCAAAGTAAAAACACAGAACCAACAACCCAATACAATAAGAACAGTATAATGGTCATACAAAACATAAAAATTAAGACTTAAAAAACTAAGAAAGTAAAACATTGAATATAATATAGTCAAAAAATAAAACATAAAATAGAAATTGAATAAAATACAAATACAGTAAAATCAAAGAGAAAAGAAAGATCTCATAATGTTATCATGACAAAATTAGGACATCTTATGCCTTTATATGGAAATCACTGCAGACAGAAACTTAACTAGCATTTCAAGTTCATTCTCACCACCAACACAGCATCTATCAGTAAATGGGGTCCTATTGTACTTCCCATGTAGCATTGCCAAGGGTGAGGCACTAAAATGAGCTAAAGAAACAAGGTTGAATACTTTGCAGGTATAAAAGGTTTCCAGATTGCAACCCACTACTGAAGGTTGGCTATAGCACTCAAATCCATCTACTGTGCAGTGTCAAAGATTATTTGATGGATTTCAGCTTTCATTCTCTTTAATCTAGGGGTAGCCAAGAGTAGATAGAAAGGCCACAATAACACAACTCAGCTGAGATTTTCTTTCTTGCCACCTTGATGAAAAAACCATGAAAAGCCATGAAAAACCATTAATGGGACCAGAGAGCCATGGGAAAACAGGAGTTTAAGACAACAGGAGAGTTGGCCTATAAGAACTCTTTCTTCCAGTGGAATAATGTCAGTTTTCATGTGGATTAAAGCATTTGAAACAGCAGAATGCAGAAGAGCAGATGGAAAAACCTATATTGAACAATTTTAAGGGCTTTGAATCATTGTAGGCACATAACCACAAATGCACAACACAGCATTTGGGGTATAGATTTAGTTTTAAAAAGCTTGATGGTGGCAGATAGGCATGTGCTCCTTTAGAATGAAAGCAAAAAACAGGATCGCCTTGACACTGTTGTTAGCTTTGGCAGAAATACATTTGCTCCTGCCAAGATCTGGAGGCTTGAAAAATTATGCCAAGGTATTTAAAAGCTGGAGCTTGTTCAATTTTTGTTATTTCCAGTTTGCCATTGATGTTTGTGATGACTAGGTCTTCCCAAGAAAACGATTTTGGACGTAGAGTGATTGATTGTCAGACCTTCCTCCTTACAGAATTCTGCTAAGGCCTGTAAATGTCTTCTGAAGCCCACCAAAAAAGTGACTGCATCAGCAGTGCACAACAGTGCTGCCAAATGCCTGTCATGGAGTTTAAGGGCGTGGAATTCCATTTTGGTTAAGGTAGTTATCGCTGAATTCACCTAGATATTAAACAATATGGGAGCTAGAAAACAATCCGGTTTCAGTCCTTCGCGGATAGGAAGCAAAGTAGCTATGCCTCCCCACAAAGGATTACACCAAATCTTAAATTTCCTGACTTCACAAACTGTTTGGAAAGCTGTAGAAAGATTTCACCCCCCCCCAAAAAAAACTTTCTCCAATGCTTTTCCTTCCAGTTAATACTTTTTCATTCTCTAATGCTTACATTTCACTTATTGTGGCTGCTTTGTGTCTATCTTGTTAGAAGTAGTGACTTTATCTTATTAGAACTTACTGCATGGCCAAAGTCACCTGTCCCTTTCCAGTGCGGCCCTAATTAATAGGTTCAGTTGTATTTTCAAGTAAATCATATAATTGTCATCCAGTTCTGGCCCAAAGTTAAGGTCACATGTTTTGTTGATAATAGACAGTGTTTTGCTCATAATAGACAATGCGATGAACTCAGATTTGGAACTGAATGGCCAAGTTGATAGAGCTGTTTTCCAAACTGTTTCCCAAATCAAACCTTGTGGTTGGCACACACTCCTAACTGAACACCATTCAAAACAGCCATAGACAACGTTGAAATCACCCATTATCTGATGTGTATGGGATTACATTCTCATCAGTCCATCCCCCGCAATCCCTTTCACAAGGATCCAAAATGACCACGATTCTGCAGAGACCAAAGCAACAAAAGATGCTGTGTTCTGAATCCATGCAGGAAGGCGTTTTTCACAGAAATGCAGGCATAATGCATCACTTGCAATCCAGATGTTGGCTCACAACTAACTCATTTGTTATACTGCATTAATTAAACGCCCCTGATTTTCCAGCCGGCCTAATGATTGTGTCTGGTGAGAGGTGGTCACAGCAACAAGGCTTCAATTTAAGAAGAGGGCCTACTATTTCATCTTGAACTGAGTTAGTCAGCTATTTTATTCCTTGAGCAGAAAGTATGTGGAGCTACATTTGCTTGCTGAGCTAACTGATAAATATGTAGGGTTCTTCCTTGCCTCAGAAGGCCAACTCTCCATATCACACAGAGCTATGTCCTATAAGAAATTTGCTTGGGGTTGTTTTTGCCATCATACTTAGTCACCTGACTGAAACCTGAGTGCAATAGAAGTGGTGCTCTGTTCTTTCTGCAATAAAACATGCCATAGAGAACAGCTAGCTAGCACATTTTGAACTGATTTTCTACATTTTCAGATTCTTTTCAGCAAAGAGCTCTAAAAGCCATTAACAAAAGTATTTCATGCATAACTCAAGCTGCCTCCCAGAGGCTTCAATTTTTAGCAGAAAGTTTTATGAGAATCATTTAGATACCAAGGATTCTGAATTTCCTGACAGCAGAAAACCTGACCACCTTTGGGCGAACAGCCTAAATGAATTACCGCAGGCATGATAAATGGGGCAACCTAAGTACCGAGGTTACCAAATCTCCTTCCAGGTCTAAGCTCCATTCAGCTGCCAATCATTCACTCAGCAAAAATGTACTGAACACATTATTTTCCTTCAGCATTAAATTACTAACATTTTGCTCAAAGCCTTAAGCAGACAGCTTAAGCCACCCTTCCCCAAACTGATGCCGTGCTAATGGCATCAACTCCCATTACCCCCAAACATGCCAATCGAAAAAGCCTGCCTTACGCACAGGGTTTGGCGAAATTCAGCAACATCCAAATTCACAAATTTGAAAGGAATCAGTACAACTTCATACTCATTAACATGTTTCATTTCTTGAGCTAGACTATTTTAGCTATTCACATTTTCACAATATACATGTAGCTATATGAATGTCATTTACAACTGCTTACTGCAATTGGTAATTTACTTAAACTAAATTTTACTTACTTAGAACAGTGTCTTAAATACTGAAAATGAAACAACGTTCCCAGTAAATGTAGATAGACAGCTTTACCAAAACTGAAGAAGGCTACTTCCTGTGTCTAAGGTTAATTGGCAGAGAATTCAAGGAGCAGATTCAGTCTGATTGAACCTTTATTCATTATTGGCCATCAGTTTCTGAAAAAAACAGAGGCACCATATCTGCAGAGAGAAAAGACTGCTTTTCTATTGGAAAGGTCCTCTGCAAGTCATTTCTCCCTAAAATGTAGAACTGCTTATTTAGTACAAAGTCCATCTTTGGGAGCAGAGTAGCAGGGAAGAAGGACAATTGTTGTTTCTCACTCCACATTTCTGGTGAGTCTAGTGGCTCAAATTGGTTGTTTAAAGTAAATAGTTCATCCAGCCTTCCAAAATAGGCCATGTACAGGAAGAAGCTCTTCAATTTTCAGTTGTTTGGAAGCTTTGCAAAGCTTGTCTGTCCAGTCTTCGTTCATAGTTGCTCCATCTTCTTCCCCGTCAGGGTGTTTAATCTAGCACACACAGAATATAATTCTGCTACCCAATCACAATAGAGAAGTGGTTGGAACAAGTCAAAGAAAACGAAAACACACTGTTCATGTCATCAACCAGAGTGATTGCTCATTGATCAAATAAGAAAAAATGGCAAATGAAAAACCACAGAACAGGAGGGACCAAGTCCAATACAGCTGTTGCCATCTTGGAAAAAACAAGCAAGCAAGCAAAATAAAACACAGTTTTAAAGTCATCTCATCACTTTTCCAAGATGCTTGAAACAAGATCTACAGCAGGGGTCTCAAAGGCAAACCATCAGTGAGTGCTGCACAAGGGCTAGTTCATTGGCACTGAAGTCCTGTGATAAGAATCCTAGGCTGGTTTGCTGCATCCTGGTCTTTCTGCCTTTCTAGCCCCAGCAGTGGCCCCAAAGAGGACCAGGTTAGGGACAGAACATCATGGAGAAAATCTATCAAGGTGGTTGCTAAGAGGTGACACCATCTTAATGGCACATAACATAATTATAACTGGCTACAGGAAATGTTTGTACAGAACATTTACAGAATAGCTTTCAGAAAAGCTATTTCTGCCATAGGAGGTGTTACACAGTACTGATTGGAAAGAGATGCAACCTTCTGCACCTGCAGTAGTCACTGTTTTTTTATTTTGAATCTATAGGCAACTGCACCAAAATGG